CCAGTCTCGTGAACGCTAGTCGCAGCTGCCTTCGAATCGCCGGCGGACTTGCGAAGGACGCCTCTTCGCCANTCCTCCACTGCCACCACTACCATCAACAGCAGCAGCAACAGCAGCACAACATCTCCCATGGTTGCTGGCTAAAGTTCTACCTTTCTGCTAAGGCTCGTAATCACAAGAGGAAAAACATAGTCACCGCATCCCGTCCACCTTCTTCTACTTCATCAACTCATTTGCATTCGCATTCACCTCATCACTACTCAGTCACTACTAGTTCATATCAGAACAATCACCACGGCCTGAGAATGTACCGCTCCAGTCTCGTGAACGCTAGTCGCAGCTGCCTTCGAATCGCCGGCGGACTTGCGAAGGACGCCTCTTCGCCAGCCTCAAACTTGAAGCTAGCCAGAGCGAGCTGTCAATCAAAGGGTGAAGGACTGCTGCTTCACCACCACCCTCAGCAGATCTCCGTCTGTGATGCCTCCAGCCTGGCCTCCAGCTCCAGCTCGGCTCGTGCCGCTGACGTTTGCTCTACCAAGCAGCGGTAAGTGAGCTTTAAAAACGACCTCTTCAACGTGATTGACCTTTTCAATTTTCTCCCCCACTTTAGCTCACCGGTTGGCACCAGCAGTGGTGGTGGTGGTAGTGCCTCGGTGCGCCTCTTCAGCTCAGGCGGCGACCTGCCCAGTCACATCAAGGTGACCCTGCCGGCGCTGTCGCCGACGATGGAGCTGGGCACGATTGTCAGCTGGGAGAAGAAGGAGGGCGACAAGCTGAACGAGGGCGACCTGCTGGCGGAGATTGAGACCGACAAGGCGACGATGGGCTTTGAGACGCCCGAGGAGGGCTACCTCGCCAAGATTCTCATTCCCGCCGGCACCAAGGATATTCCCATTGGAAAGGTGAGTGGCACTGTCCCTTTGGGAGAGAGAGAGAGAGAGTTCTCAGCTCTAACCTTGACATCTCTCTTTTCAGCTACTCTGCATAATCGTCTCCGAACAGAGCGACGTGGCCGCTTTTGCCAGCTACGTGCCCACGGGGGCTGACCTGGAGGGGGCCGCAAAGGCCGAACCACCGCCGCCTCAGCAGCAAGCGTCCACTCCCTCACCTTCACCGCCTTCAGCTCCTTCAGCCGCCGCCGCCGCCCCATCAGCGGTTGCCTTTGCCGCCGCCCCCTCCGTGGTCACCTCCTCGCTGTCGCCCTCGAGCGGCCTGGCCGGCCGCCTCTTTGCGAGCCCGCTCGCGAAGAAGCTCGCCAGCGAGAAGGGCATCGACCTGGCGGCCCTTGCCGGCCAGGGCACCGGCCCCTCTGGGCGGATTCGCGCCCAGGACGTGCTGACGGCCAGTCCGGCGAGGATGGCTGCCG